TTTTCAAGGAGTTCGCTGAGGTCTCTGGGTTTAATATCTTCTACAGGTGTTTTTACTCCATTTTCAAAGGATTTCTATGTTTTCGGATTTTAAAAGACTTTTCAGGTAATTTGGGATAAAGAGGCACAAATTGAAACAAAATGACTCTTTTGGATAAATGCAGACCGTCAGAACTCTCATGGAGAGGCGAAGATGTTCTCAACGTCTGATCACCCTAAAAATTGGACAACTTATTGAAGAATCAACCAGCTTTCAAATGCACTTGGTTTGGAGACATTCTAACGGTTGGATCTCAAGGTATTCCATTTGCCCCGGAGACACTCGAAGACGGCCAACAAGTCACGCGACCGCGGCCACTAACCCATCCACCGCGGTCACGAGCTACACGACCGCGGCCAAGCCTCTATTTTCCGCGGCCACGTTACTCCCGATTGCGGCCGACCATCATCGATTAAAAGCCTATATTTCTGAAGCCCAAAGTCATTTCTCTGTCTCAATTCTGAAACCCTAGAGACCATGGAGTATTGAAGACTATAAATACTTGTCATTTAGGTCGTTATTAGACATCACCTTCATACTTTTATAAAAACCCTTTTTCTTCAGCCGTTTTATGCGATTTTTAGAGAAGATTGTTTAACTCTAAGTTCATCAATAGAGAATCTTTCTTTCATCTCTTTTCTTTACTGTTTTTGATTGCTTTTATTAAAACCATTGATGATGTCGACCTCAGCCATGTCTGAATAGATCCCGAGTTGGGCTTAGGGTTCCCAAAAGGGGCTCTCATAATCGATTAAGACATCTAGGTTTATACATCTGGGATTTTAACATTGTTCTTTGTTTATTCTCGTCCTTAATGCATGTATGATTAATTGATCACCTCGTATCTGATCTAGATAGTTAGTGTTGCGGAAGTTTTCATTAAGTATCCGACCTAGAATGATACAGTCTATTTTTCCGTAGGAGTGGAAACCTACCTGCAGCGAAATCGTGAGTACTGACGAGTCCTGTGCAGCTCTTGCGTTCTCTCCCTTCCAGGGCCAGAGTGGAAACCTACTGGTCAGGGTTGCAAGAAACAGTTGGTTATGATCACGACAGTGATGTAGTCATACCGCCGTACTCTAGCTCTAGAACCCTATATTTTGATATCCATCAATCCCAATCTATAATCCCTTGTGTTGAAACCGATTATGATCCCCGTAGAGTTCCCAAAAGCTCAGCGTTTTTACCCATAGTTTACAAACCAATCGATTTTTACTTGCTCTTTTAGATCTGCATTTTATTTGCCTTAGTTTTATATTCTGCTTGTTTCATTTGCTTTCATTCGATTTTCTACTTGTTTTGTAGGATAGATTTATTTGGTTTCTTAGTTTTAGTTCAATCTGTGACAAACAACCAACTCCCAAATCGATTTAGTCTAGACATAAAGTTAGAAACCGTAGAAGAATACCAGGCACACAAACCGTAGAAGGAGATCATGCTCGACAAGATGGAGAAGAGAATGAAATTCCTCCAAGAAATCCTCAAAACCGAGAGAGAGAAGAACGCGAAGAACTTGATGCACCTATCAATGCAGCCGATGGTAACAACCTGGAGATGCAGCCGAATGGGCGCATTAACCGCCCTGTTCAGCAAGCAAATCAACACCGAAGACAAGCCACGAACCATCGCATAGCTGATTTTGATGCACCCACTCAGAATTTTCAGAATTGATCCGCAATTCAAGTACCATTCGCGAACCGGAATGAGTTTTAAGTCAAGCCTCAAATCATCTCTTTGGTGAAACAAAACCAATTCCATGGAGTTCCTTCTAAACATCCAATGGACCATATCGAGCTCTTTGAAGAAATCTGCAGCATGATGAGGACAAACCAAGTTCCAGCATACTATTTAAAGTGTAAGTTGTTCCCTTTTTCATTAGCAGAAAAAGCTCACCGTTGGTTGAAATCTTTGCCGGCAGGATCGATCACTAATTGGGAAGAATGTAAAACTGCTTTTCTGAACCACTTCTATACTAAGTCAAGGTCGAACTTGCTGAGAACCAAGATCTGAAGCTTTCAGCAAGGACCGACTGAACCTTTCTATGAAACCTGGGAGTGTTTTAAAGAATATGAACGTGACTGCCCTCACCATGAATTTCCCGGATCAAGCCTGCTGATCACATTTTACAAAGGTTTGCAACTGCAATACAAAATTTTGCTTGATACAGCTAGCAATGGAGATTTTGGACAAAAGACGATAGCACAAAGAAGAGCCCTCATTGAAAATTTGGTTCAAGCCAATAGCAATGATTGTCCGGAATACAATCGATCGACAAAGCAAACCGGAAGAGACAACAAGGAGATAACCGAGTTGAAGAACATGATGAGCCAGCTTTTGAAAAGCAACAATCGCCCAATCCATGCTTGTGAGACCAACAATGGCGCAAAAGACAAAGGACCTTGTGATATCGATCACATTAATCCAGCCCTTCAAGAAGAAGAAGTGAGCTATGTAGGAGCACAAGCGCCATATCCAAATCGCTTCAACAATGGTTTCAACAACAACTTCCGGAATGCAAACTACAACAATCTCTCTTACCGCAATCCAAATGTGGAGAACCCTCAAGACCAACACTACCCACCGCAGCAGAGATCCTACCAAAACAAGTTCCAAGGTGGAAATTTTGGAGGGACAGGAGCTTATCAGCCGCGACAGCCATATCACTATCAAGATACGGGTTTTAACAATCAATTTGTACAACAGCAAGGAGTCACAACGAACCAGCTAGCTTCGCAAATCGGAAGACTTGAACAGTCCATCCAACAATTTGTTATGACAAACGAGAAAGCAGCTAAAGACATGAACGTGAAAGTTGACTGCATGTACAATGACCTGAACAGGAAGTTTGAAGCTTTATCTTCGCACGTCAAAAACCTAGACATCCAAGTTACCCAGACAGCCGACTATATGAAGAGACAAAATGGAGCTCTTCCCGGAAGAGTTGAAGATAACCCCAAGAGATTTTGCAATGCTATAACCACGCTGCCCGAAGAAGAAGCCAGAACCGATGGAAAGGATGAAGAAACCCCAGTCTTCGTACCACTTTACAAGGATGTCAATGCAAAGCTGCCACCATTCAAGGTACCTCAACGTTCCCTGTTTCAAAGGCTTACAAAACCGACGACCCGAAACATTTTGTTTTCCAATGTTTCATTTCAAGAATCAAGTTCACAGACTGTCTATGCGATTCTAAAGCCAATGTCAACATCATGTCAAAGACATTTGCCGAAAATTTGGGCATAAAACTTTAAGGACATCGACAGTCAAGGTTATCTTTGGAGATTCTTCTCAAATAGATACTGAAGGGGCGATTCATGATCTGCAAGTTCTAGTAGGGGACAAGATTGTTCCAGCAGATTTCCAATTTCTGGAAATGGATCAAGACAAGGAGAGACCACTCATATTCGGGAGACCATTTCTAGCTACTGTAGGAGCAGTAATCGACCATGCAAACTGGAATGCTGTCATCCTCAACGTAGACCGCATGAAGTTTTATCTAACTGTCCTAGACGATTTTCCAAGTAAAGGAAAACGGCCACAAGAGAAGGAAAACGAGAAGCCGAGAGCTTTTGCAAAGATCAAGATCATCATTCCACCAGATGCAACAGAGACTAGTGAGGACCAAATCAAGGAACTGATCGAGAACACAAAAAGAGTTTTAAACAACGTTAAAGTCTGGAAGAAGAGTAAAGGAAAGAAGCTGGCGCCTCAAGGAGAAGAAGTTAAACCTCCAGCGACCAGAAATGATAAAGGCACATCTAGTGGAGTGCCATTTCAATCAACCTGATCTTTCATGCCTAAGTCGAGCTAAACGACTTAAAACAAAAGCGCTTAATGGGAGGCAAGCCATTTAGGTACTCTTTCTTTTAGTTTTCTTTTTCTTTTTTACAATTTATGTTTTCTTTTTCTTTCTAGATTCAGGTACTCTTATAAAACAAAAACACAAAAAAAAAATCAGAAAAATAGAAAAACCGAAAAAGAAGGAAGGGTTTTTAGCTGCTCGGCCTAGTAAAAACCTGGACGAAGGCTGCAGGAAAATGGGCCGCGGTCGCGACCAACCGACCCGCGGCCAACGCACCTTCGACCGCGACACCGTGAATGTGACCGCGGCCGAGCCTATGTTTGTCGCGGTCGCGCGTCTCCTGACCACGGCCGTTGGTCATTGAGACGGAACCTCCATTTCCGTTGCTTTTCAGATGTTCCCGGTGATTCCCGACAATTCCTGGAACATTCTTGGAAAAGCCCGTCATTATAATTTGAATCAAGCTTTTGTTGTCCTTGTAAGATCTGCTGGAGAATAACACTGATCATGACCTTGCTGCTGAGGAGAATTCAGTTGAAGTTGTGGTTGACCAAATCCAGGAGGTGGGGGATTTTGTTGCTTGAAGCTGACTTGGTTTGTGAAGTTGTGCCCTTGGTTTTGAACTGCTGGGTGCTGAAAAGTGTGTTGGCCTTGGAAGTAACCGTGGAATTGATTCTTGGGTACAAAGCTCTTTGGTGACCTTGTTGAGAAGGGTATACTTGATTTTGGAGATTGGCTACATTGGTGCTTCTATAAGACAAGTTCTGGTTTTTGTTGAAGTTATTGTACCCTTGGAACTTGTTAGTGTAGCTCCTCTTGTGTAAGGCCCTCTTCATTGACATTGTCAAAACAATTCCTCTCATTAAACTCACCCACATATTTTATGGGCTGCTGAGTGGTCATTGCCAGCTTTGCTACCTTAACTTGCAATTCCTTTAAGTCCTTTTCCAGCCCTTGTTGTATACTAGAGGTTTCTCCTCTATAAATTCTGTCATAATCTTCCCCATAAGTGTCACTACTCATGGCTAAGTTCTTTACAAGTTCCATAGCAGCATTAATCTCCTTTGCAAGGAAGTTTCCATTGGATGCTGTATCCATCTGATTCCTGAACTTGGGGAGAGCACCTCTATATAGAGTGCTAAGAAGAGAAGTCTCAGAAAAACCATGATGAGGGCATTGGTTTGTATAGCTCTTTAATCTTTCCCATGTTTCCCCAAAACTTTCATTGTTGTGTTGGGTAAAGCTTGAGATTTGATTCCTCAACTTGGCTGTCCTTGATGTGGAGAAGAACATAGAGAGGAAGGATAGTTTACACTGCTCTCAAGTTTAAATTGATCCCCTAGGTAAGTTCTTTTTCCCACTGATGAGCTTTGTCTCCCAAGTTGAAAGGGAACCATCTTAACTTGAAGCTATCCTCTGAAACCCCATTAATCTTTATCAGATCACACACTCTGTCAAATGGATCCTCTAAATGAGGCATTTTTGAATAAATCAACTGGGGAAAGTGTGATTTAAGTCTGGGAGAAGATGTCTATCCATACTGATTTAATTTCTTTGTTTCTTATCTTTTTCTTGCAATTTTTAGTTTTTTCTATGCTTATTAAAAGACTTTTAGTGTTTTCAGGATTGTTGACACAAAACTATGATGAGTAAGACCCATGTGCTTCTAGACTTTACATCGTATTTTCTTTTCATGGTTAGTGCTAGACTAGGCGGTAGCTAGAGTACTTCCACTACGAACTCCCACCAGAGGACTTCTATTCATGGAGATTCTTTCTAACAGGATATACTAGATCATTTTACCTGGACTTAATCTTGACATATAATTTTCTCATCAATGGTTTTAGGAAGACATCGAGGACATTTTTACCCTATTTCACCATTCTTTGTTGTCCTAGATGGCCAGTTTATCTAGCTGGTACCATACCCTTTACCTAAACCTTTACGTTCGAACCTCATGCATTCTCTCTTAAGTTTGTATCGACAGATATGTGCAAAAACGACAAAGAGGAGGAACAACATAGTTTTCAGTCACTCAAGAGAAAGATTGAAGAAAATTGGGAAAGACGAGTATCAAGAATCCTATCAAGCCTAATGGTGCCTCAAGAAGCTCAATCATAAAGGTAAATTTTGTGCTCCCTAAGACTCTACATCTAAAGGCGGTTTCCCTTTTTAAAAAAAAAAAAATCAGAAAAAATGAAAGGAAAGGAAACCAAAAGCCTAAAAGAGTCTAGGATAGCCGAAATTATCTGAGCAAATGTTACAAGTATTCATCTATGGAGTTATGGATTTACAAACCTAGACAATAATATAAGTCTGGGGGAGTCATGAGGAGAACCTGAAGAAAGGAGATCAGAAATCTTAATCCATCCTCTCTTGCTGTTTTGCATAATATCTTGTCTCTCCAGTAAAAAGTAACCCTAAACCACCATGAACTTTACCCCTAAAAAAGCCATTTTGAATACTAGCCAAAATGAATGCTAAAAGATAGTTTACTGTAAAATAGGTCTAAATGTGTAGATTTTCGCATGACAGATTAATGGACTAGTTATGCTTGTATTTTACTGAGAATTTTCTAGTCTTTACCTGATTTGAGCATAATGATTGAATTTAGTTTAGAAGCATGGTCTCTGAGATTTTGTTAGTTCCTGCGGTTTTCAAACCTCTTTTTTGGAATTAAATCTTTTGTTTAGTTTGAGACAAACAAATGTTTAAGTCTGGAAAAGTTGATAACACCTCATTTTGACCATTTTTATGGAACACTTTCAATGTCTTATGCAAGTGTTTTCACTCAGTTTTAAAGGTTTTATAAGTGTTTTTCATGTTTTGGAGTTTTAAAAGACTTTTTAGGAAACTTGGATTCTTAGAGTGCATTTTGGAGCAAAAGTACATTTTTGGATAAATTCAGGCCGTCAGAAGTTTGGCAACCAAAAAAGACCTTATCACCGTTTGATCATCTCCAAATATAGAGACAAAATAGATGAGACAACTAGCTTTCCAACACACTTGGAATCAATGCAATCCAACAGTTAGATCTCTAGATATGATAACTAAGAGTTTTCACTCTTTAAAGAGGTTATCAATACCCCTGTCCTTGTAGTACAAGGGGTTATCAAACCAAACTTGTAGTGGAGACACTAATCTATGTTACTTGTGATCTTAAGTCAAGAGAGAATGATAAGGGTTTTAACTAAACTATTTAACAAGTAAATGAGCATGTAAATGAAACAAAAGATGAGATTTAAACTAAGTGAAGATGCAAATAACAAGCAAATGGTTCGGATGATGATAATATACGATAAAGGCAGAAGCTTTAGACATGATACTTGACTCGGGTGCTTCCAAGCTAAACTAATGGGTTAATGAATCATTTTATCAAGCGATTTCATTTGACTTTGAACTCAAGGCATGTTAATCTTCTCATGAAAGTATTAAACATCTAAACTGATCCTCGTTCATACCAAAATCCCTTTTGAGAAGCACGAATCAGTCAGCAATAAGATTCAGTTCAAAAAAGTCATTTAAGAGAACAAACTATCACTCTCGCGATGAAAGACTCTTAAACCCTTAACCGAGTGGTTCAGACATTTCTACAAACACTTTTGATGCGAGATATGTCTCAGATCTGAACCTCAAGTGATGTGCTTGGATCCAGCCTAGAGATCTCGTCGGTTAAGGAATGAAACATGCAAGACTAGACACCTAAACCCATTAATCTATCTTGAAAGCACCCTAATCTACCTATCTAAAGCTGCTTAAACGACTACTCACTGATCTTAACGAGCTCACTAAGTCCTTTGCAAGACGTGTAGCTAGTCATGATAAGGAGTTTAATGCTGGATGATAAAAAGAAATAAAGAAAGAACAAGATTCTGATGCAAAAACGAAATATCGGATTAGATTAATCAAGTTTCACAAAGAGGCCAGTTCTTAAGGCTAAAAGAAGATAAGAGATAAGATGATTAGGTTTTTGGTCCTAAAATGTATTTATAGCAAAAAGGAAAGTGTCGCGGGTCAGCCCGGAACAAACCGGGTACTGAGCCGCCTTCTTGGGTTGATGGGTGAGTGCCACGGTGTGTCGGAGAGTGAAGCCGAGGTCTTTATGTCGAGGAGTGCACATGAGTCAGGATCCGAATGATGATCTCGTGAAGAACACGTCAAGAACATGCATGAACCCTAGTCTTTGATCCATCTTCACGTGTGTGTTCTTGAGCCGTCCTGTTCTTGATTCTGGGTTTGTGACAAGGAACCTCGCCATAAAATGTCGCGGGGCTTGGTAGTCGAGGGGTTCGGGAGAACAGAGTCCGGCATGCACGCCGAGGCCATTACACCGAGGTGCACGTTCAACACTTAGTCGTTTCCAGCTTCATTTCTTACATGTGCATGCCTTGATCCCAATATACCGAGGCATCGGCACGAGGTCTGGTCCGAAATACTCCCGATATATGAGCGTTGACCTGAGCAATGTCGAGGTAATGATGCTGAGGCCTGAGAAAATACTTAGCGCGTATCGCAACTCCTTTAGGCTCGTATCGACCATATTGCCTTCCAGAAGCAGTAACTTTCAACACACGACTCCAATCGTTCTGAGACCAGTTCCATAGTCAAGATGACTCAATAAGCTAGAACTTTGGTGAAGAGATCGTCGGAGATTGGGAAGTGGAAGGCTTCCTGGATTTCACATCTTTGCACCGCATTGGAATCACCGGAAAATAAGCTTTTGGACCGATGTGAACTCCGGAGACCTTATCTTTCAAACCATTGCTCCGAATTGAGTGATTCCAAGCGTTCCGGAACGCCCATTCACAGATCTAAAACTTTGCTGAAGACCGGGAAAGCTGGTTCGGACCGGAAAGGCTCCGTCCGTCGTGATCTTTGAAATCCGCTGTTCGGTTCTTGGGTACGCGTAATGCTGGTGCATTCTCCGGAAGCCGTATCTTTCTCCTCACTGGTCCAACTTGGATGATTCCAACTGTTCCGGAATCTTTGCTTGATTATCTCCAACTTTGATGAAGACCCGCCAACTGATTCGGATCGGAAGGTTCCCGGATTGCTGATCTTTGAAACGCGCGGGCAAGGACAGGTTTTGGTCGAGAAAAGCTTCCCGCGGTAAGGAAAATGACCGAGGGCTATGTACCGCGGTAAGCTTTTTAGCCGTAAAATTCTCTCGCCTCGGCCGAAAACTTAACCCGTGGTAATTTGCACCCGATACTCGTCTTTGGTCGATTTTGGTCGATCGGTAAGGGTTTTGGCCGATAATGAGCGTCCGGTAAGCTTTTTGACCGAGGTTTCTGTCCAGCCGGTACGAGTTTTGCCCGAGAAATTCCTCCAAGCGGTTTTCACCATTTTTGACCTTTTTCTTCACCGTTTTCTTTTCTGCTCCTCTTATTAAGCTCCAAATGGCTCCCAAAGCACCTGATAAAGACTTCAAAACATGCAAAACTCTTTGGGACCTAATGGAAGCCCTAAATCCTATTTTGATGCCTAAAGACTCAATTTTCATGGGAAAACACATGATGAGGACTCTAAAATGCAATCTAAATGATGTAAAATATAGACATATCAACTCCTCCACACTTGTCCTTTGCTTGTCCTCAAGCGAAAAGAACAAATGAGAGAAAGAGGTTGTAGTGCAGATGGAGCTCATATTTCCTTTTTAGAGAGAAGTGATCACAATAAGAACCCGAATTCATGCTCAAATATGCAATGCAAAGCTATACTCAGATATTTTCCAACTAAAGCACGGAATCTCCACAAGTCATCATCACATTCAACTCTTAGTCCAAGGTGGCCTTACAATTCACAGACAAACATTGGCTCGAAAGAAAGATGGGTTCAAGGCGAGGGAACTGATCCATGATGCGGATTCAGCTACTTGAGAGCTAAGGAAGGAGGGTGGTAAAAACAACGATTCTAGCTCAAGTATGTATATCGGTATCCACAAGCCTATTCAAGCAATGCATCAAAAGATATTTTCATTTCAAGTTCAGGGTTATCACTTAGTTAGAGTTGAGTGTTATTCAAACTTGCTTCTCAGATTCAAATCGTTTCAAGCTTTACAAGCACAGAATGAGTTTCACAAGCATATTTAGTTCAATTTCTCAAGTGATTTACTCTCTAGGAAAAAATCTATCATTGCTCCTTGCATTGATGCAATCCTACATGATGCAACTAGACTCGATCTTAAAATGCGAGATGCAACTAGAATGATGCAATTTTATCATATGTATTAAGCTAAATGAGACTCAAGAATGCAAAAGTCAAAT